GAGCTTGGCTGTGCCAGTGCAGCAACCTGGGGGTCACAGAGCCAAGAGAGGGCCTACAGTGGGCAGAGACAATCGGTGGGTGATGGTGCCAAACTCTCCTTGGTGCTGTTGGATGGGAAAAGAAGGAGCAGTAGGCACAGCCCTGGCTTTGGTGGGGTGGAAGGTCCTTCATGTGGAAGGTGCTGCAGCCCTGGGGCTTCTCCACACTTTGGGGTTTTCAAGGCTTGGCCAGACACAGCCAAGGATAGTGATAGTCCTGTTCCTGTGGGATTAAGAACTGGAGAACCTTTGCAAACATTTCATGCCCCAAATCAGGGCAAATCTTCCTAAACAAGCCTCTTCCTCTCCAGGTCAGTATGAGGGATTTGCTGGGTGGGAATGTTTCCTCCCTCTTCCTCAGAGCTCAGAGATCTTCTCCTGCCCAGTAAAAAAGGAGAAATCTTGGATTTGAGTTAATTGACCTTCCCATTGCCTGTTATTTTCCTGGAATAGCTGGTTTCCAAATGGCAGAAAACAACCAGGGACATGACAGAGTTCTTATAAAAATGAATTTACTCTGTCACATGCCACAGGCACTCTCATTTCAGTTACCCTGGACCAAGGAAGCACACAGTTATTTTGCCAGAAGATGAACCAAAACCTGATTTCTTTCTGCACAGTCCATGTCCATATATAACTTTCTCTTCCCATCCTGAGCTACCCACATGCAATCTGCCACTCTGGAGTTCTCTGGGCTTCCATGAAGTCCCTGGGGAGATGCTGAGGCAGCTGCTCTAGTTAGTGAGTGTGCTCAGAGCCTCTTTTATAGCTGGGTTAAAATATTTTCTGCTCCTTTCCTTTCCCAACTCACTAGGGAGACTGGGGGAACCTTTCCAGTCAGGGAGGCTTTTTCAACCGAAACACTCTCCTGACCTAAAATTTCTTCTTATCTTTCCAGCAGAAAATAATTACTTTACTAGAAAATCACTTTTTGCTCAGCAAATAAAAACCTTCAGTTCTCAGCTTGTAGAAAAGAAGAGTTTTATCATTCTCACTGAACACCAAGGAGTCGAGTTTTTTTGCAAATAAACTTTCCCATCATCTGTCCTGGCGGGCCCATCCCCAGAGTTTTCAAACTCCAGCTGATGGCGGGGAGCCAGCAGCACATTGGTTTCCTGAAGAGATGCTCAGCTCCTTAAAACCGGCAACAATGAGTAGGAAAGTGTGATAGTTTTAGTCTAGGCCTTCCTTGGTGACCAGTTTGTAACCAAGGAAGTGGCCATGTTCCCAGTATTCCATACGATTTTTACGTAAGCAAGGCTATAAATAAGAAGGAGAGAGAAGCCTTTTCCCCTTTTCCCTTCTGGTGGATCTGAAGGCCATAACAATCAATAAAGAACTAGCAAAAGAAAATCTTACTACTCTCCTTGAGACAGCAGAATCGTGCCAGGCACCACCAAAAACCTTGGCCTCCCAAGGCCTACAAGGCCTCACTAGGCCTCACTAGGCCTCACTCCCCCACACGAGCAGGACCGACAGCAGAGAACCTGTGCCTTCAGGTCCACCAGAAGGGAAAAGTGGAAAAGACTTCTCTCTCCTTCTTATTTATACCCCAGTTTATGTAAAAATCGTATGGAATACTGGGAACATGGCCACTTCCTTGGTTACAAACTGGTCACCAAGGAAGGCCTAGACTAAAACTATCACAGAAAGCCAAAGAACCCACCAGCCCCAGCCAGCAAAACTCACCTGCCAAGGTGGTTGAGTTCTGAACACCCTTCTGAGGGTGCTGTTGGCAGCTCTGCTTCCTTGGCCTGTGTGGATCCGTCCCTGGAAAGGCTGTGGATGTTTAATAGCAAATGTGTGGGCATCTCATCCCCTTCTCCACCCAGGGCAGAGGCAGAGGGCAGTGATGCTTCATCTCTCTGCTCTGCCAGAGCAGCTCAAGCAAGACCAGCTGTCCTTGCACAAGCCTGATTCCCTGGATTCAGTGCTCAGCTGGAGGAAAAGGAGCCTCTTCCAGGACAAATGATGGGAAGGACAGTGTCTGGTTTCATCACAACCGTGCTGGAACCACAAGATCTTCCCTTTGGATTGTCCCCCTAATACACCCACCCTTAGAGAGCCCTGCTCTTGGAATACAGGGTGTCCTGGGACTGGGAGCAGTTGGAGAGGTTTCCGTGGCACATCTGCTCCTCCAGGGCATCTGTCCCCCTGCATTGCCTCATTTTTGCCCACTGTCATAAGGGCTGGAAGATTTCCAGGAAGACTATTCCTATCCCAACATAAACTTTCCCAAGGAGCCGTGGTAGCAACTGGAGCCATCCAAGAGGGACAACATGTGTGTTAAACCCAGAGTGGCTTCCTCAGCTAAAGCCCTGGCAGTGTTTGCATATTTTTTTCCTGTGGATACATGAAGAAGATTCATAATAGTAAATCTTTCCAGTAAGGCATCATGACAAGGACCATTTCTAACACATTTTGCCCAGTCCTCTCTCCCCAGCCTCCCTTCATCCTGCCTGACACATCCCAGCCTGGGCTCTGCTGAGGCTGCTGGGTTTCACACACCTTGACCTGCAGACACAACTCCTTCTGACAGGAGGTCTGTAACAGCAGGGACGATACTCTTCAAAGGCCTGAACCCCAAATCTGTCTGCACAAAACCTTGATCTATGGTTATAAATATAAACCCCCTCTAAACCATCAAGTCCAGCTGTTAACCCAGTACTGCCAAGCCCAGAAATCCCAAATCTTATGTCCAGATTTGGGACTGTCATTACAAGAAGGACATGGAGGGGCTGGAGTGTGTCCAGGGAAGGGAACGGAGCTGGGGAAGGGGCTGGAGCAGCAGGAGCAGCTGAGGGA